GGGCCCGGGCTGGGGATTCAAACCCACCACCTTAGGTGTATGTGGCTGGCGCCCTAGCCGCTTGAGCCACAGGCACCAAGCCATTCCTTGAGGATTCTTGGCACTGGCCTCTCAGATCACTAAATGTCTTCTACCTGGATGACCTTTGTCATTTCTGTCTTCTTCCTTGGCTTTTTGGATTCTGAATCATGTACCAATGTGCCTCTTTCTTGCTTGATTTTCTCTAACATTCTTTTTTTCCTACCTTCCTATAGTCCTAGAGTACTTCTTTATACATTCAGGCATTCATAGATCTGCTTTTTTTCCAAATTCTTTGTGTTAACACATTCCTACTCTTCTTAATCCCCTTTTATTTCTTTGTCACTGTACGATGCCTCATAACTTTATGTCTTTTTTTTTCTCTTGAGATAGTCTCACTATGTCACCCTTGGTAGAATACCATGGTGTCACAGCCCACAGCAACCTCAAACTCTTGGGCTTAAGTGATTCTCTTTCCTCAGCCTCTCGAGTAACTGGGATTACAGGCGTCCGCCACAACACCCAGCTACTTTTTTGTTGCAGTTGTCATTGTTGTTTAGCTGGCCTCGGCCAGATTCAAACCCGCCAGCCTGGGTGTATGTGGCCAGCTCCCTACCCACTGAGCTATGGGCACCACCCATAACTTTATATCTGATCAAGCTCTTTTCCATATTCTCCACAGGCACTGCCTTGAAATTTCTCACTTTTCCCCAATGCTCCATGCTGTTCATCTAGCTGATGAATTGGGGGCCAATATTAGTTAGCTGTAGGGGAATGGCTTTTTGCTGTATTTCACATTATAAATCACTCTTCCTGACATTTTCTTCTAGAATTGGTTGAGCGATTCCCTGCTGACAAGGTCTCTCTGTGGTACACAGAGAGCACCATCTAGTTTATTTTATCTAGTTTATTTCTTCTAACTACTGAATTATATCCCAGAATGTTTCCTATCAATACACTATCCCTTCCCTCCTCATCACATTACTCCCTCGCACCCTTTTCTCTGTCTTTAATCTGGGTGAGCCATTTGAACCTCTCTACCCTACCTCTGCTAGCTGTTCTTTGAGCTAAATTCACCTGTTTCTCCTTTGAGACGGGACCTTTGGGTTCCAAACCTATAGCATGAAATCACTGGAAAAAAGGCTTCTTTTTTTTTTTGAGACAGAACCTCAAGCTGTCCCCGTGGGTAGAGTGCTGTGGCATCACAGCTCACAGCAACCTCCAACTCCTGGGCTCATGCGAGTCTCCTGCCTCAGCCTCCCAAGTAGCTGGGACCACAATGCCTGGCTATTTTTTGGTTGCAGGCATCATTGTTATTTGGCGGGCCCAGGCTGGATTCCAACCCGCCACCTTAGGTGTATGTGGCTGGCGCCTTAGCCACTTGAAGCACAGGCACTGAGCCGGCTTCTTTTTACATTAAAAGGGAAAGTGGGCTTGGCGCCTGTGGATCAAGCGGCTAAGGCGCCAGCCACATACACCTAGGTGGCGGGTTCGAATCCCCAGCCCGAGCCCGCCAAACAACAATGATGGCTGCAACCAAAAAATGGCCAGGCGTTGTGGCGGGTGCCTGTAGTCCCAGCTACTTGGGAGGCTGAGGCAGGAGACTCGCTTGAGCCCAGGAATTGGAGGTTGTTGTGAGCTGTGATGCCATGGCACTCTACCCAGGGGGATAGCTTGAGGCTCCGTCTCAAGAAAAAAAGGGAAAGTGATAACAGAGATATTAGTTGTATTTGAATCTAGAAGAACTGTGGCAGATTGGTGACCAGACAGAGACCTATCAGCAAATAGAAAATAAATATTTCAATGATGTTGCTTTCATTAAGAACATACTGACTGTAAGAGGCATTATGAATATAAGTACATTAGAAAAATAATTCACGTGGCTTGGTGCCTGTGGCTCAAGTGGCTAAGGCACCAGCCACATACACCTAAGGTGGCAGGTTCAAATCCAGCCCGGGCCCACCAAACAACAATGACAGCTACAACTAAAAAATAGCCAGTGTTGTGGCAGGTGCCTGTGTTCCCAGCTACTTGGGAGGCTGAGGCAGGAGACTCACTGGAACCCAGGAGTTGGAGGTTGCTGTGAGCTGTGATGCCACAGCACTCTACCCAGAGTGACAGCTTGAGGCTCTGTCTCAAAAAAAAAGACAAATAATTCACGTGAGCCCCATAGAAAAATAATTCATGTGAGCCCAAACATTTCATTTTCTTTTTTTTTGTTGTTTGTTTGTTCTTTTTTTTTTTTCCTTGCAGTTTTTGGCCGGGGCTGGGTTTGAACCTGCCACCTCCGGTATATGGGACTGGCACCTTACTCCTTTGAACTACAGGTGCCACCCCTTGTTTTTTTGGTTTTTGAGACAGATTCTCACTATGTCACACTGGTAGAGTGCCATGCGTCACAACTAACAGCAACCTCCAACTCCTGGGCTTAAGTGATTCTCTTGCCTCAGCCTCCCAAGTAGCTGGGCCTACAGGCGCCTGGCTATTTTTTGTTGCAGCTATCATTGTTGTTTAGCGGCATGGGCTGTGTGCGAACCTGCCACCCTCGGTGTATGTGGTAGTTGGTGTCATAACCACTGTGCTACTGGGTGCTGAGTTAGAACATTCATTTTCTAAAGAACCCGTCAATGGAATGCATTTGGAAATATTTGAAGCATAATTTAGATTTTATACCATTATAATCAAACTAATAAAGAATTTTAAAATGTAAAGATTATTGAAATGGCTAAATTTCTTCCTATACTGACCATGAGTGTACTCCAACAGGAGAAAAGTTACTGGACCATAACCAATGTGGAAAAATGCTAAGTTATAAACAAACATCCTCCCCAAATCAGAAAATGCATACTGGAGAGAAGTCTGACAATTGTACTAGATTTCAAAAGATCATCACCCAGAAGTTACAGTTCAAGGTATATCTGAAAAGTCAGACAGGAGAAAAACTGTACATATGCGTTGAATGTGGAAAGGCTTTTGTTCAGAACTCAGAATTCATTACACATAAGAAAACCCATACTAAGGAAGAACCTTATACAGGCAATGAATGTGGAAAATCCTTTTGCCAAGTATCTTCTCTCTTCAGGCATCAAAAAATTCATACCAGAGAAAAGCTCTCTGAATTCAGTGAATGTGGGAGAGGCTTCCATTATAACTCAGATCTCACTATATATGAGAAAACTCATAATAGAGAGAGACATTCTCAATGCATAGATTGTGGCAAAGCATTTACACAAAAGTCCATGCTCAGGGTACATGAGAAAATTCATACAAGTAAGGGATTCTATATATGGATGCAATGTGGACAGGCCTTCATCCAGAAGACTCAATTGATTACACATCAAAGAATTCATATTGGACAAAAACCATATGAATGCAGTAATGGTGGGCAGTCTTTCCTTTCCAAGTCACAACTTCAGCTGCATCAACAAATTCACACAAGAGTAAGGCCCTATATACATACCGAATATGAGAAGGTCTTCATTAGTAGTTCCAACCTTATTACACATGCAAAAGTTAAAATTAGAGAGAAATCTTTCATGTGTACTGAATGTGAAAAGGCTTTTACATACAGGTCAGATTTGATTATACATCAGAGAATTCACACTGGAGAAAAACCTTACAAATGCAGTGTCTGTGGAAAAGCCTTCACTCAGAAGTCGGCACTCACAGTGCACCAGAGAATTCACACAGGAGAAAAATCATATGTGTGCATGAAATGTGGATTGGCCTTCATACGGAAGGCACACCTGGTTGTACATCAAACAATTCATACTGGAGAAAAACCTTATGAATGTGGTCACTGTGGCAAATTCTTTGCTTCCAAGTCACAACTCCATGTGCATAAACGAATTCACACAGGAGAAAAACCCTATGAGTGCAATAACTGTGGAAAGGCATTCACTATCAGGTCAAATCTCATTACACATCAGAAAACTCACACAGGAGAAAAACCTTATGTATGCTCTAAATGTGGAAAGGCCTTTACTCACAGGTCAGATTTGATTACACACCAGAGAATCCATACTGGAGAGAAACCTTATGTATGTAGTACCTGTGGAAAAGCCTTCACTCAGAAATCAAATCTCAATATACACCAGAAAATTCATACTGGAGAGAGACAATATAAATGCCATGAGTGTGGGAAAGCCTTCAACCAGAAATCAATACTCACTGTGCATCAGAAGATTCATACAGGGGAGAAACCATATGTATGCACTGAGTGTGGAAGAGCCTTCATCCAAAAGTCAAACTTTATTACTCATCAGAGAATTCATTCTGGGGAGAAACCTTACAAATGCAGTGACTGTGGGAAATCCTTCACCTCCAAGTCTCAGCTCCGGGTGCATCAACTAATTCACACAGGAGAGAAACCATATGTGTGTGCTGAGTGTGGGAAAGCCTTTACTGTTAGGTCAAGTCTAGGTAAACACCAGAAAACTCATACAGGAGAAAAGCCCTACATGTGTTCTGAATGTGGGAAGACCTTCAGACGGAAGGCAGAGTTGATTACACATCATAGAATTCATACTGGGGAGAAACCTTATGAATGCAGTGACTGTGGGAAGTCTTTCATTAAGAAATCACAGCTCCAAGTGCATCAGCGAATTCACACAGGAGAGAAGCCTTATGTGTGTGCTGGGTGTGGGAAGGCCTTTACCAACAAGTCAAATTTGAATAAACACCAGACAACACACAAAGGATAGAAATCCTACATGTGTGTGATGGGAAAGGCTTCTTTCAGAAATCAGTGCTCAACATACATCAGAGTATTCACACTTGAGAGAAACAGAGTAAGAAAATCTCACCAAGAACAGGTTTGATAGTGCACTATTGAATCCATGCAGCAGGATATTATTTTAAAGTGGAAATCTGTACATCAGAATGTCATACATTACTGTTCAGAAAAGGATATCTAAGAAAACACTGAATGAGGCAAAGGAAGTTCCCACATTGTCACTAGCCTCATTAAACTTTAGAACAGGCTTGGCACCCATAGCTCAACCAGCTAAGGCGCCAGCCACATACACCTAAGGTGGCGGGTTCGAATCCCCAGCC